CCCCCCCCCCCCCGCCCCCGCAGCTGCAGTGGAAGAAACCGGTCTACGCCATAGACGAGTCGGCGACGGTCTCCTCCATCCTCCTCATCTCTGGTGCGATCGCAGCGCACCTCTCGGTCAACCCCGATTTGGTCTCGGGTGCGTGTCCTGTAAGCCCCCTGGCCCAATCCCCCTCTGGGCAAAGTTGAAACTGCCGTGATAACCCCGCAATTGCACCGCCCGCCCCAGTTGGCTTCTATGAAAAGAGCATCGCCGACGAGTGCGCGTATGCGATGCAACATTCTGTTTGATCTTGTTCGATGCGCCTCCTAGAAGCAACCCCAGTTGAGGACCTTTGCTTCTGTCCAGGTACATTATCACCGGGTGGTACATCGTTTGCATCGCGGTGATCTCGGGGCGGAACGCATATTCTGCACACGCAGGGGAGGAGGCAAGGGTAGAGGCGTTCAAGCGCGGCACGGCGCGCCTGTACTCGCTGATGCGCCAGCTGGGCCTGCTTGCGACCGTCCTCTTTGTCCCTGCCGTCTATCACTCGGTGGACGACTACGGAAGGACTGACACCGAGGACGAAGTGTGGATCACCACTGTCGGCGTGCTCGGTGGGGCGGTCACCCTACTCACCGGAGTTGCCCTCTTTCGCTACCGCACCGCCGAGCGTCACCTCGAGGCAACAGAGGCGGCAAAGACGGCTGAGGAGCGTGAGGTCATTCTTCCGTCGCTCGACGAGAAGTCGCCGGCTGAGTGGAGCGTGCTCGAGGTGGCGGTCTGGCTCGAGCACTCCCCGGCTCTCGTGCACCTGGGTCCTGCCAAGCGCGCGACCGTGCGCGCCACCTTCACCAAGGAGGAGATTGAGGGCGCCTCGCTGGTCATGTGCACAGAGATGGAACTCCTACTCAAGCTGGGCGTGGCCGCAGGTGACCGTGGGGCCTCGCACTAGCTGGGCTGTGGGGCTGCTGCCTTAGGAGACGCCAACCCGTACCCCACACTGGTGCTTGAGAAGTTTACCTCACCTTACTTGCCTCGGCCGCGCAGGCTCCGCGGTGCAGGTGGCCCTCGCGGTCGAGCAGCTTCTCGCGAAGCCACTCGAGTGCGCGACGAGCGCGTTCGAGGCCGCGCCGGAGCTAGCGTCTGATGACGCGCTCAATTAGATCGTTCGCCGTGCATGTCGACGACGACGAACGGACGTCGCGTGGAGGGTGGCGCGCGTAATGAGCGGCTCCCGGTGACCGAACAGGGCTGCGAGCGGGGTCGCCTTCGCCCGCTGTCCACACTCTATCTCTATTAGGTAGGTTTGTGCAGTACGCGCACTCGGATGTGTGGCAGCCCGCTGGCTGAGTGTCTTGTCTAAGTCACATGAACAGTGATCAGTGTACGACATCGCCATCGCGCTCCAGTGGAAAAAGAAAGCAGGCGGGCCAGGCCGAGGAGAGCGACGAGGCTCGAGGGAGAGGATGACGCGGCAGGAAAAGGAACGACGATGGGGGGCGACCGCGAGGGCGCACGCATGAAGGTCGCGGCGAGAGTTGGCGAGCGAGGGACTGACTGCGACGAGACTCGAGAGACACCTATGTACATCGAGGGAGAGGCAGAGGCAGCCGCGGACGGGCAAACATGGGGGCAGCTCTTTTTCTTTTGAGAGTGTGCCGGAGTCTGTGCTAGTCCGCGCCAGTCCGGCCGTGTCAGATTGCTCTTGACAAAAAAGAAATCTAGCGCGTCAGTCCCAAATATGCCCGCGTCTCGCTCCCGCGCGAACGCCGCGCTCGGCTCCAGGCCCCAAATGACGTGTGAGTGTTAGAGTTGTTTGGTATTGAAAATCGAAAAAATGTATCCCGCGCGTAACGAACTCCCATTGAGCATGTCTAAGGCGAAGAAGCAGCCAAAGGCGGTGCCCGCGGTGGACGCGACCCCCACGACTGCCGAGCTGGTGCCGCAGCTCCCAGAGGCGGAGGCACAGCGGATTCGCGAGGCGTGGTTTGCGTGCGACTCGGATGGCGACTCACTCCTCGACAGCCACGACTTCAACAAGCTGCTGCTGCGGATCAACCGGGACGATCTCAAGGCCGACGAGGTGGTGGAGGCCATCCGGCGGATGCAGAGCAAGCGAAAGGACCAGAGGACCGAGCCGACCGACCTGCTGCACCTACGCGAGACGCTGCGCTTTTTTGCGACGAATCCCCTCGTCGAGAAGCCAGAGGCGCACTCGCTGCTGCCTCTCCTCCTGCCACCTCTCCTCACCTCTCACCCGATGCCAATCGCAGGCGGAGCGGCTGTCCGAGGACCTCTTCCGTGGCCTCCTTGCGCAGCAGGAAGGCGCGGCCGACGATAAGGCCCCGAGCACCCTCAGCATGGCCGCCATCTCGAAGCTGCTTGCTGACTATGAGCTGGACCCGAACGTGCTTTTTGACGGCAGCACTCCGGCTCTAGCTCTCCCAGAAATCCAGCAGCTCCTCGCGGCCAGCACAAGACCGTGAGGAGGCCCCGGTAGCGTCGCTGCCAGGCGTGTTGCGCCCCAGCCTCGCCAACTCGAGAGCACTCTTATGACGCTCCGAGTCCTCACTGCGCTAGGCCGGGCCGCGTGAGCGGGGCCAGTGGCACGCGATCGCAACGCCGAGACGCGTGACCAGGCACTGATCGTGAGGAGAGTCGAGGCGGGGTTTGGCGTTTGCTGCCGTGTGTCGGTTGTCGGTGTCACTGCGGGGAGAGTCTGGCATTGTGCTCTGCGTACTGGGAGCTCTGGACCTGAGCGACCAGTGAGCTGCTCAGTACTGACCACTGGCTTGACCGCGGCGCCCGTGCGTGGAGAGCCTGGTCCCCGCTGGAGGCTATATCTTTAAATTACTCACTGTGACGACACACAGAGAGAGAGACACTCACACGCTGTGTGAGTGTGTCGTCTCGACTCCGTCCTCTATAAAAATAAATAAAGAAAGAAAAACGGACACCTCTACTGTGAGATGGGTAAAAAGGAACAGGTCCCCGCCCGTGCGATCTTTGTGCAGGGTTCTTTGTGGGTGTGGTCGGCGACTAGCCGGGGTCGTCCCGATGGGGGACTAGCACACTATAGCCGTCTTCCACATGGTCCCTCGGGTCCCTGCTGCACTGCTGCTCCTCCTAATCTCTTCGTACATCCTCCTGCTGATCTCCGCAAAGTCCTGCTCCCTCCCTCGTCTGCTCTCGCCCTGCGCGTTTGCTCCGCCTCCCCGTCTTCTGCGTCGTCTGGCGACTGGCCCTCCATAGGCTGCCCATAGTCGGTTGAGGACGCCGCCCTCCTCGTGCCTCTTCCCAACGTTCCCTCAGCGGCTGATGCCGTCTGCTCCGGCTCCCCCGTCCCCGAGTCTGCCCTGCTCTCGTCTGCGCAGTCTCTGCCTTATCGCCACTGGCGTCTCTCATCTTCTTTCTCCCCTTCTTGTAATGCTTTGCACATCGCCTCGATTCCTTTTTCGCGTGAGCACCCCACCCTCGCGCCTCGGAAAAGAGCCCGCCCAGCAGCTGAACCGCTCCCTAACTAAGTCGACGGTGCATCATCAATCAGTCTCCACTTCGCTCGACTCCTCTGTGGGTCGTGGCTCGTGTGCTTTTTTTATTTTGTGCTCGCGCTCACATCTGTGTGTACACTAGTAGCAGAGGGACCCGAGGGACCATGTGGAAGACGGCTAGTGCTAGTCCCCCACCGGGAGGACGACCCCGGCTAGTCGCCGACCACACCCACAAAGAACCCTGCACAAAGATCGCAAGGGCGGGGACCTGTTCCTTTTTACCCATCTCACAGTAGAGAGGTGTCCGTTTTTATTTATTTATTTTGTGCTCGCGCTCACATCTGTGTACACTGTGACGTTGTGTGTCATGTGTGTTCAGTCTTCAGAGACAGGAGTGTTCGAAAGTAATATGTGCACGCACGCAAAACACGACTCACAACACACAAGGAACTTTAGTAGTTTAGAGAGCACACGACGTAAAACCTAGAGATATCTGAGACACATTGCTCTGCCCAGCGGCGCTCACAGCGACTCAATCGTCACAACACACGACTAGACTCCATGCACGAGAGACTAGAGACGGCACACCATGGCGAGCCTGATCGGCGCACGACCCACTGCCACTGGTGTGCACAGCGAGCGGTGTCCTCTATCCTACCGTGCTCGCGTGTCGCCCCAGAGACTCCCCACGGCCAGGCTAATTGCACACCTGCGCGCCGGCTCCACGCCGCTCCCTTGTGGGCGGGTTGCGCGGCGCCGCAGCCCCCCCCCCACCCCCCCTTATCCCTTCACCAGCCCGACGCAGCGGCCAAAGCCTACGCGGCGGCTGCGTCCCCCGCCGCGGCGGCGGGGGCGGTGTTGTTCACGGGCGTGCTGGGCCAGATGGTCTTGAGCACGGAGAGCGTGGTCGGCGCAAGCATCTTCGCCGCCGATGCGGTCGGGCTCCGCGCCACTGCGCGTCAAGACAAGGGGCGGTGGTGAGGCGGCAGGGCCGCTGGGGAGGTAAGGGTGGCAGGCGCGGGGGCGGCGGGCGTGCGGGCCGAGCGGGAAGAGGCGAGACGCGACCGCCGAGCCGAGCGACGGCGTTTGCATGGTCTGCAGAGTCTGCGGCACTAGTCCGCGGTCGATGGCGGGCGCCTGAGAGAGGGGGAGAGCCGGGGAGATACGGGGAGATACGGGGGAGATGTGCAGGCCCGCGGTCGATGGCGGGCGCCCAGAGGGAGGAGAGCTCGTCGTGCTCCTACGCGAGGTTGCAATCTCGGCTCAACCTCGGCGCATCTCGACCGCGAGGGGTGGCCGGCGCGCGCTGTGCCTCGCAGCGCGCAGCCACGCGGGCGGTGACGGCGAGGAGAGCGACATGGCACAAGCCTGGAGGGCAACCAGAGGGGGAGGCGGGTCAGAGGGGGGGGGGGGGGGGGGGACTTTAAGCGCCCCACACGGGGAGGGGGGGGGGGATGGCCCCCCTTTTGAACCTTTCAGAGGAATCCCCTCCCCGGGTTTCGGGGGGGGGCCGAAAATTCGGGCGGGGGGGCACACATATACGGGGGGAGGGAAAAAGCGCCCGGGTGCCAGGGGGGGCCCCCCCCACCGGTAAAAATGGGGGCCTTGGAAAAAAACCCCCCCCGGGGGGTAAACCCCCTTGGGGAAAAAAGGGGGAA